TAGCCACCAGGGAAAGAAGAAGGGCAAGAAGGCTAATGCTGCGCGTGACGTCGTTGGTGATGCTGCCATTGAGGCCAGACAGTGAGTAGATCGTCAACTTCAGAAAACAGCCAAGTGTTAATGTGTGCTATAGCCACCAAGGCAAGAAGAAGAAGGCCACCAAGAACAACCGACGTGCCATCGTCGACGAGTCTGAGGCTGAGGCCAAATTGTGAGGCGACTCTGTGCGGCCACCACAAACAAGATCGACATTAACACCTCGCAGTCATTGAGACAACCTATTGGGCGGTGAACAAGATCTCGCAGACTTCGCGAGAATGGGTTGCAGAAACGACCGGCCCGTTTCCTAGCTTCTGATGACGAAGGATATGCTTTTTTGGAAAGAATGCTCTTCGGGTGTGAATAGTTTTGCTAGATTACCACTTAATGAACCGATGCATGATGCGGTTTTCTGGCAGCAAGCCCTCCTTTTGAATCAAAAGATCTCTAGTCATAGTGAGCGAGAATGAGCGGGTTTTCTGTGTAGTTCGGCCAAGAAATGGCTTTCGGTTTCAGGTTTAAGGAGGCATACCAGACCCTGAACACGACGACACCCCTTTGTTAAGGGAAGCCATAGCTAACGGAAAGACTAATTCAAAAGATATTGACGTTTTAATTACGCAACAGCATTTCGTGAGAGTCCGAACCATGCGACACGTAGAGGTCAACAGACCAAGGCCACAGTCCACCTGAGGGTGTCGAAAGAATAGATAGCGTGTCGCGTATTCGAACTGTTGATGTCATTTGGATGCGGTCTAGTTGAGGAAACAAGCCAGACGTTTTGGAGAGCGCATATGTGAAGAATCGCAGCATGACCTCGCCAAATTTGGTCCACCGTAACGGGTTTTAATACCGTCCTTCAACAGCAAGATATTTGGTTATTATATGTGGACATTTTCTCTGTCTTGGGGTGTGAGGTCAATTTGGCATCCTGAAGGATTAGCCAGGTCGCTCTTGCCCATATCTAGTAATTGTGGAGAGACCGAGGTTGAGCCACGCTGCTTCCGCGCTGTATTCGAGCCATATTTGTAGATATCTAGCAGTAATGGATCATGCTTAGAAGGTGATTTGGACGAATAAGATCTCATACTGAGATATATTTGGCAAAGTGGTGAGCTCAATACCCGCAGGGCTTCCAAGTTATATCTGCGTTCTTACAAACCATTTAGATTCACTCCTTCGCCGGCTTCACCTCCTTTACAAGTGAAAAGTGCCAACCCGGCTACCTTACAGTTTGCGAAACCTCGATGGAATTCGCTGTGAGAAGCCCGTGCCGTATCTGGATACTCTGCGCTACTTTCTCATATGATCTGCTCTGTCACATCCGGCTTGTCGATATACTGACAATCTTCGCAATGCGACCCAGAATATAAAGGGCAGTTTCTTCCTCGATATGCTCTCGACAGGCCACTCCGCCCACTACTGCGCCGGGGTGTCTTTACCTATAGATTTTCTTACGTCACTATATTCCAGTGTTTTCGGGTATATGATACCGCTTCCTAGATTGACGAGGCTTGAGGCTACTTCAGTCTTCGGGATCAAAGTTGTGATTCCATGGCATCAATGTAATTCAAGTATTTGTTCACTAGATGAAAGGTAAACGCAGAAAGAGCTACGGTTGTCGAGCAGCTTACTACCCCGCCGGGGTAATAAACACCAATTCATCAGGGGTGACCTGACCTGGCCAAGAGACTCAATACCTTAAAAAAGCTGTAGAAGCTGTAGTAAGAAGAATCATCATCCGGATGAATATGATGATATCCATCATTAGGCCTTGTCACCCTTGACAAACCAACATTTAACACCTTGGCGGGGGGAGTCTCATAATTAATTGCCTTGGGCGCTCGGGGTAGGACCGGCAAGAAAGACTGCATTACACTAGGAGCATGCAAAATTTGAGTCTTAAGAACGTTGATGTCGAGAAAAGTAATCGAGTTTAGTGTCATGCGGGATTGATCGGTATGCCAAGGGCCATTAATCAAAAGAACGCAAACACAGATGGACGACTGAAGTCTTCCGTCAAGAGCCGATGTTACGACCTTGTATAATGCCGTTTAGCTGCTGCGTTTGCGAGATCTCAGGATATAGCGTACATTTTGACTCCAGCCTTGTTGAAGACGACAGCCAGCGCAGGTCTTATATCACCGGGCCGAGCAGCGATTTATGAGGGTGCCTATTGGACTATCTATCTGCGGCTTGACTGCGAAGATAATTGAGTGGAGAGAATTACAAAATCAGTCATCACCAAGACGCAGCACTCAAGCTTGTGAAAGCAGTCGAAGTGTATTATGGCCGCTATTCAAAGCTGTGCTGCAAGCATGTAAAATGTGGAAATGATGATCCTCGCCCGGGTCGAATGTTGATGAAGGTTGACCAATAGCTCTCAGTCTAGAGGAGATACGCATCGATCTACTCATGTGGACTCGCGACGTCACAGTGAGATAGATGTTTTGAACGTTGTTCGCGACCTACCCTTGAGCCTCGAGGTGGACGAGACTGGGCCGTAATATCTGCAGATGATCATCTGTGGCCCGGAGAAATAAGTGAGTTGTTACTGAACACCTACGTGGGTATCCGATTTCATGCAGCACTGCACGCGCTGTGATTGGAAGGGGAAGGCTGCATGTCGCGCGTTGCCGCCGCTCGCTTGTTTGATGGTGAAATACCCTTACCCTGCGCTGGAAGGACGCTAAAGTGAATAACCCACACCATGTCACCCCGATTTTATTCCCCCCAAACCAGCCCTTGTCTGAGGTCTTCGCCGTAGAGTACCTACCTAGGTAGGTAGAGTCGCTAATAAGCTTGCTAAGGTACCCTATAAGCGTAGCTAGGTTGGTAGATACGCGACCTCGGGACCGGAGGTACCCATCTCCAGGGTAGCAAACCTCGCATTTTAGCACTCAAGCACATTGCCAACATACTAGGTACGCAATATATCGTTTATGCTTAGGTATCTGGGTAGAATAGAACGTCACATTGTTTCCCAAGGAGGCTCTTTGCCTGTGGCCTGGCCTGGCCGAGCCTGGTCGGATAGGAGGATAGGAGGGACTTGGGATCCATCATGGTCCGCCAAGAGGATTCGCACGAGTAAGGCAAGCGCAGCCTGCATCGCATCGCCCGTGTCAGTGTCCATGTCAGTGTCAATGAGGAAAGTGCGAGAAGGCTGAAGGGTGAGGTACAGCACCACGCGAGCCAAGACCCACTTTCCATCTTCTCTGTGGGTGATAACTCTATCCACCGTCGGCCTCGAGTGTACTGCGTAAGGGAATAGGTACTTGCTCCACTTTATTGCTTCTCCACTTGGTTCTGCTTACCGTAGCCTGGAGGTGCCTGCCTGCCTTACCTAAGGTACCTAGGTACCTACCTATACCTAAGGTATGTACTCCGGTTTCGTGCCCACATCGCCCGAAGTATCTGTGGTGCTTTGAGATACCGCCGCCTGCCACATCTTTTCGGAACGCACAGACCATGCAAGCTTTGCCGCATAGAACAGGCGAGAAGCAGGGTGTGCTAAGGCCTGTCCGGGTTCCCGCTGCAAGGTCTGTGCTTGGGTACATTCAGGTTAGCTCCCCTTAACGAAGATACTTTCTCACCGCAGATGGGCCAGGGCCATGCGGCAGGGTGGCCACCTGAGTTAAGGTGTTTTCCTCCCGGCACACAAGCCAACACCAAACCCGAATCGGGCCAAGGCCCATCCTCCCATGCCCACGCCTTAGCGTAGCGTAGGAAGGTACCCATAGCAGCCACAGGTTCCACC